CTCTGTTTTAATCAGTCAAATCTAGAGTTTATATCCTCTGCAAAGAATTTGCATCAGCTGGTTTAAATATAAAAGATACTTACTTTTTTGAAACAACTGGCAAAGTGAAAAGATAGTCAAAATTCTAGAATTCCTGTAATTGTGATTCTCAGATCAATTGTGAAGCAAAATATTTGAATTGAGTCTTTCGGTTGTGGGGGAGGAGGGTATTGAGACTTTTTCTAGTATAAATATCTTTTCTTAAGTTTGGGGGAACAGAAACTTGTAGTGCAAAGGAGTTTTCATTCCTGAAACTTGCAGGTCCACAAAAAATAAGAAAAATTCGGCAAAAAAATATACACACACACACATACTATATATGTATATACAATGCTATATAGATATGTATTTATTATATCATAAACTACAGTAGGTAACTTTAAGAATTTCTCCCTAGCCTTGTACAATGAAAATGAATGTTTTTCTTTGAACACTGCAATATATGTATGTTTCAAGGTTATTTAACAGTGTACTATGGTTTTATATCTTGACTTGCCTTGTACATCTTTCAGTTCTGGAATATCTGTGTCTAAGCACAATATCTTCACACTGTGCTCTATTGCTGCTGAACTAAATGCACTTTTCCCCACATGTGGGGCACTGGCTTCACACAATTCAGTTCAGTACCATTGATTTTAATATTATCTTTCCTTTCCTGGTAGTTGTTAATATAGTTATGGAGTAGAGGCATATTGCATAGAAGCCATTGGTAGTTCAGTGGGAGTTATGTAAGATGTGCCTGTGCTCTTTGATGTGTTTTCTTTGCTTTACTGCTTTTAGTCTGGCAGTGTTGTAAATGCGTGCCCCTTATACAGTACTTTTACTTTTGATAGTGTCAGTCTAAGTCAGTTTAATTTTTGAAGAGACAGAGTAAGTGCATTCTAGGTATCATTCTAAAAAACACATCCTATATAAAGAATAACTATATGTGTAATTACATATTGCTGCTTGGATTTCTTTTTTTATTTCCAGTTAGATGGGCATTGTGTTTTAAAGAAAACCATTTTTGAAATAAGGCCATGATATTATGATATAAATTTGGAGTGTTGTTTTGCTTTTCCTGGTGCTCAAAATCAGGACTAAGTTTGAGGTGGAACCTATATTCGTAATTGGCAAATTTTTAAGGAGCAACTAAGAAATGGAAGGCAGGTGAAGATATAAAACCCTAGAATGCTTCAATGTGCTGTAAAACTATTGTAGATGTCACTGGATTTTACCAAGTAATATCCTTTCTTCTTTTCCCCCCATCTACTGTGGCTTTTCAATTAAAATTTTGTTTATAAAAGGAATTTGTTTATTACAGCTCTACCTAGAGCTTGTGTGTATGTGTGGTTTTTAAAAATTTTATATCCGGGGTGCTTATGTATTTTGATGGTGGAACTTGAACTTTAAAGGGAGTAGCATCCTAATGTCTTTATTTGGAGGTGGGGGTGGGGTGGGGGAAGGGGGAGGTATTATTTCTTTACAAGGAAAATAGATACTGTTTTTTAAGCATTTTGGTTACCCTACCTTCATTTACTAGTATATTGGTCCATAACAAATACAGAATGATCAAACTCTTACATGTACTAGTAGAAGTGATGTTATAGACAAATCATATATAGCTGAGGAGTTATAAAATTTTTTAAGAAGCATAAAACATATGTTTTGGGTATGGCTTCCACATTGTAAGAGCCCATGAATTTCATTACTTCTAACAAAAAACTAACGTGGACTCTAATTGGGCTATCCTTGTGAAATCAAAATATTTAATATTTAAATAGAATGTAAGGGATATTGTTGACTATGTGTGAGCTAATACTTTTCCTGTATATCCAAAATTTTTCTTTTAAAGAAAGGATTTAGTCTTTTCATGAGGCTCAGTAAATTAAAAAAAAAAGTCATAGAATGTTACATTGCTCTAAACTTTGCTTTTTGTTGATATGCAGGGTGGGGCAAAAGTAGGTTTACAGTTTGTATGGAAGATAATACAATAATTAGTAAATAATAATACTAGAATAAAGTGTTTCATGTACTCACAGCTATAAACCTACTTTTGCCCCATCCTGTATAGTAGCAAAACAGCAACTGTCAAACAGTCTTTTTGTGGTAGTTTAATACTTTTAAAATTCCAAATGATTATTTCATACAGAAAGAAGAGGGAGATGCTAACTAATTTAGAAACTTGATAGATACAAATGAAAGCAGTAGAAAATAAAAACTCTTGGAGAAAAAACACAAAAATTTATTTGTACTTATATTAAAAGGTGGGTGATGCCATTGGAATGAGTTCTAAAAATGTGATTACATATTTCTAATTTATCAAGTCTGAATCATTAAAAATGGACAAGCTGTTATACATCACAATTTAGTCTTTCTGTGATAACATTTTTTATAACTTTTACTTTTCATCTCAGTTATTGCTAAGCCATGTGTACTGAATCCAGATTTCAGCTTGCAGCATTTGTAATTGTTCATCAATAAGAATGGGTAGTGGTTTAAGTATATTAAATGGGACACTTTGAAATGGAAAGAGGGTGCTACCAATCATTATATTGGGCCAACAGCTGTACATCAGAACTGTCTCTGGAAAATCAGGATATACGGTTACTCTTGCATGATTAAGATTAGATGAAAGCAAATGTCACAATCCAAAAATAAGCAGAAGAGTAAATTCCTGAAATTTTCAAATTTAAAATGAATAACTTGTAAGGAAAGGTTTCCTTCTGCCTATACTAGAGGATAAGGTAGTATACCAAATATCTAAAACTTTTTTCTTGCTTTATTCTGGTTATTTTAGCCATAGAGAGCCAGTTGGGGCAATTGGAAATGTTACAATATTTTAAGAATTTGAATCTGCAGAGTTGTGACATTGATTTGGAATACTCTTAGATTAATAAAGTATTATGAGAATGTTTAATAAAATAGATATCAATACTTTGTTATTGAATAGAATGTCTTCTAAACGTGTTAACACTAAGGAAACATTT